CCATTAGCGATATGCTCAACAAATTCCGGTTTTTACGCGTTTTTGCACCACTCATGGAAACAGGCGGAAGTAAACAATTAAGTAAAATAATATTCACCTGCAGAATCAGTAAAAATTACAGGAAGGAAATCCTCAAAACTGTAAATGCAAAATCGCATACTGTCGAGAAGTAAGTCATCATCCTTTACGTATATATCCCTTTGCGCCCAGTCTGCCTTCCAGAAGTGCAATGCGCATTCGTAGTACATTTGGCGGATAGCAATATGGGACCTGTATCTGAGAACTGGAGGGCGTAACGCAACTGCATTTCTGATTCAAGTAAATCACTGGTATTGAAAAATAATTTGTAGAGTAATAGTAAAGAAAAGCAATAACACGTTGACAAAGTTTAAATAAGGGCAAACTTTATACATTATACATAAGAAATTCGTAACAGTGTGATATAGGATAGTAGAGAGGAAAGCAACTGAAGAGGAATGTTTTTAGCCCATCAAGCCCTATATAATCCTATTCAGCACCGTCAGTGGACCTTGTCAGTACGACGGTTGTGGTGTTATAAATTACTGAAAATAAAGTAAGCATGCAGAGAAGCAAAAGAAGAGGCAGAAAATAAAACTTATTTGTTTAACTGGGTACTTTGCTAGCGATTGAGAAGTCTCAACTTTGACAAATCCGTGCACAATTTGTGTGCATGCGTTAAAAGGTGAATTTTGAATCTTTAGCTCACAAAAATCTCTATGAAATTTCACTTTTCTATTTTTTGTATCTCCAAGATGTCAAACAGTTTGCATATTTTTTGTGACATTTGTATGTAGGACCCAGGCGTGCACGAATGATAATATTAATACGGGAAGATCACACACGAGGGGAGCGCACATTCCCGAAGCTGCAGCTTTCTGGCTTTTCTGGTTCTCGGGTTGAAAGTAGGTGACAGAAAATGCGAACACACAGGCATACACGCACATACACACACACACACACACATAAATAGTCTCTTGTCAACATGCGAAAACGCATAATAAAAAGTAACACTGCATCCTCACTACAGTTGTCCAAATATTCAAAGTGGGCCGTGGTCATGTGGACCGTGGCTGTAGTGAAAATAAATCTAATTTTCTAAAAATTTTATCTTTCCCGAATTTCTGTGCTTTCTGGCGTGCTGGATGTTTTTATTTTTTCCCTTAATAAAAAAAATTCCTTTGTTTTTGCTGTTTTGTTCCGTTGGTTGTAACTTATGATTATTGTAATTGCAATTAAAGGTCTAATCTTACCTTTCTTTATCAACGCTGCTACTTCTACTTTTTTGTATTTGTATATTTTCATGTGTGTGTGTGTTTATGTGTGTGTGTGTGTATGTGTGTGTATGTACGTGTGCATGTATGTTTTATGCATGCATACACAAATAATTGCTGGACAGTGCAGAAATTAACAAGTAATGTGCATTTGCAAGGAATTTTAATAAAAAATTAGCGAGTTTGGAGCGTATGCTATGGAAATGAGTATGCGAGTAAGAAGTCTATGAGGCAGTCGACTTTTACCTGAAATTTTAAGTAAACAGTGTGGATTTTATTGCGCAGTTTCATCACTCATGGCAGCACTCGGCGTGGATTAGCGGTTGTCGAAGTCATATTGCACCCGGTCCTTTTTCCCGCTTCGCTTGTTCTTTGAGAGGGAATAAAATGAAGAGGGAAATGAAAAGAGAGGCCAATAAAAGGGCAGGAAAAAGGTGCCAGAAGAATTATGTGGAAAATTTAAAAAAGAAAAAAATTATTTTATAGAAAAGAAAGAAAAATTAGGTACTTAAGAGGGACGCTTCAGTCCATAAAGCTATATACATTTTTTCCAGCACAGTAGCCGGACCCTATTAGTACGACAGCTGTAGTGTATTTCTTGAAGAGGAGGGGATGGAAAATGAAAAAGCCAGTTTTCCCCGTTGTTGAGTTGAAAATAGGTGACAAAATTCTCTCACTTCCGAACAAACACGCACGCACAGACAACTTTTCGAAAATGCGCATTTTGCATAAACATGCAAAAACGCGTAAAATGAGGAAAGACGAAGACAAAAAGAACTGGAAAGAATTGCGTGCAAGTTGGGAAAAAATTGTCTTTTTTTTGTAATATTTCTTTCCTCACTCATTTTTGCCATTTAATTGATACCAGTTTGCTTTATCAAAACTAACAGTCTCAAATTGGGGTTATTAAACCGGACTCATCGTGATTTTGCAATCCCTAACAGCACGAGCACTGTGATTTGTCATACACTCGGGTGTTTGATTACGATTCATAATTTTAGTGCTGCCGGAGGAAATAAAAACGAAGAAAGAAGTGTGAGCGCCAGTAAAACCCGAAGAAATTTTGTCCAAGAGGCCGAAGATTGCGTTCACGGGAGAGAACAAAGTTACAGCCATTAAGGCCAAAAAGTTGCTGAAGGATGTTGTATTTGTAAGCCGATGATGAATTACAGTTTCTTTTTTTTTTTTTTTTTCAAAGTATCGCCGTAATCGTCGTTAGAGTTATCCCAAGGGTTAACCTTTAACTTCAAATTCCATCATTTTGTCATGCCCCCCGACATCCCAAAAATACTTTTTTAAGAATATGTAGGCGAGATTGCACAGGATCTTATTCTGTACTGTTTTCATCTTCGAGCACAGCATTTTTCTCTTTTTTTTTTGATGAACAGTATGCGTTTTTGCATTGCACCAGTTATGCAAAACGCGTAAAAACCCGTCACTTTTGACTTTATAGGATTTCATGCAGGAATTTTTTTTTTTTTAAATTTTCTAAGATTTTTTAACAGGAGTGTTCCTTTCTCGTATTACTACCAATCCAACTGGTTGGTGTGATATCCGCGAGAAAGTAAACGAACACTCGACCGATCAATGTGTAGATTTTTTT